ATAAAATATCACAACTGATTAATTCATAAACACGATGATGAGACACACGCCGCTGTATATTAAACAATTTTTTGTTCTTCTCGCTCTTGTCTTATTCTCATGTCATTTAACTTTTATGGCCTAAACTCCGCGGAGGTTTTATATCTACGACAAACATTTTATCGTATGTCAGACAATTTTTTTTCTCCCTCTACTGTTCCTTATTGTCATCATCAACACATTCATCGAAGTAATTTAAATCATTATTAGCTAGTTAAGTTCTTGAATTATTGATGGATATATACAAACAACTTCATCGAACTGAACTAGGTGTGTTTAGAGAATGTGATTTATTCCAATACATTGAATTTGGGAGCTTAAGATAGAAGTGAATAAGAAGAAGCATTAGTAGTCTGAACAGTTGCAAGTTTCTAATGAATTTTTACTTGCTGATCGTAAAATAAATGTGGATTATTATGTCTGCAGTCCTTGACAGTAGATTATAGTTCATTTAGACATTAAGGTGCAGTTTATATTCCAAGAACAAGTCATTTAAAGACTTTTAAAATTTTATCGGTTCTGTCGAATTTAAATTTTCACCGGTTTTGTAAGATTTGAATTTCAACGTTTTTGTAAGATTTGAATTTTAACTGTTTTGTAGAATTTCAATTTCAACGGTTTTGTAGAATTTGAATTTTAACGGTTTTGTAGAATTTAGATTCACTGAATCGTTTCATTTTAAATTCTGATTGAATCTGCTTAACATTAGACTACTCAAAATACTTCTGTGCCTCCAATAATGTTCCGTAAAAATTGATAAAATAAATGGAGTGTCATTATTAATATAACAACCATCAAGTGTATGGTGAAGCACATCAATAACCAAAATTTGTACTCCTATATTTTCAAATTTGTTCTGTTTATCATCACATTGTGTGTGCTTTATGATTCTTATCTTGAAGAAAAAATGGACATCATTGGAGGAAGAAGCTTCATCAAACTTAATGGAATGTCATTTTCGTTTCGAATAGCAGGAAAATAAAAAGTGGAACTCTATCGGAATATTTAATATTTTTTCTTCATCTTCACTTCATCGGCAAATGTCCTTTAAAGGAAGTGGAAAATTTAGGAGGCGGAAATGTTTTCTTTTGGAAAAGACTATAAAATATAATGACTTTGCCATGACTTACAACTTTTTTCTCCCCTTTAATATCCTTCAATTTTTCTAGCACTTTAAAGGAAAAGCATCATGAAATATTAATATTTTGAGAATTTTCCATCCAGGCTTTGTCACCTTATACTCAACATGCTGAGCATAGAATAAATTTTTAAAAACCATAAAAATTTATTCCAAAAATACCTCCACTACAAAAATTAATTATAATTAGTCATTATCGCCTACCGATACATGAAAATTCACTGAAAACTCCTTTCAATGGTTCCCCTTTAGTGCCATCAAAAATAATTTTCAAGCCGAAGAAAGAAAAAACACTTAAAATTAATTACTTTATTAATACAAAAGTAAGCAAGTTTTAAAGCAGAAAATTGCGATAAAATTCATTAAAAATTTACAAACAATTTTTTCTTCGACTTGTTCGTTCATTGGGAAATTAACATTTCATGAACATTAGACTTGCTGTTCGCTATGCTTATGTACATAATTGTCACAACTGAGCAAATGTTACAGGAGACATTTTTTAAGAAGGCAGAGTTGGCTTCATGAACAACTTCTTTAAAAATTTAAATTGGACTTAAAAACCTCACGTGCAGTTCATAAGTCCAGGTACAAATAAAGCTGGAATTATAAATTGCACGTGAGGTTTTTAAGTCCAGTTGCAATTTGTACTAAAGTGACCTTTAGTCACTTTGATTTTCTGTGCACGATTTTTGTATCTGGACTTATAACCCAGCATCACTTCTAATAGAAAATCATCACGACACCCCTGCACTTTAAAGAAATGAACCGAAAATTCCATTGACACCGCAAACTCCTCCGAAAAATATCGATTTTATTAAATTCCTTCTCATTTCTTCTAATCCAAAATGATTTTCAGCCATCGGCTACGAAATAATAAATACATCAGTGAATCTAGAAAATTGCAAAGGTAAAGACAGGACAATAATACAGATTTTGGATTATCCATCACAGTTGATTTCTTAATACACAAAAGCCATGTCAAAATTTTTATCTCCATTCGACAGCACAATTATTTGAAACTAATTTATGGTTGAGAGAGCATCAAAAATATATATACAAGGATATCATCATCATCGATGTAACGATGTTATTCCCATGGAATATAATCCTGATTGATAAGCTTCGCCATATGACTTCTTTATTTTCTCATTTTTCTTCCATCTCTCCCTTAACCTCGTTCCTTAATGTTGATTTGAAAAGACGTTGGACATTAACTATTCGCACACGCTCACAGGTCATGTAAACTAATAGCAGTAGTCAGTTGGGGTCATATGATAGGTCACTTATGCAGAATGACCAATGTCTTTATAATGAATATGATGTACAAATTTCATATGCATAACTGTTATAAGGATCAAAAGGGTCATCAAGAATACGACAAGCTATTCCCATGATAAATGAATGACCGTAAGAACTAAATTAAAATGAGCGAAATAAATTAAAAAGAAAACCTGAAAAAAATCTTGACTAACCGGTTCTGTTTATGAGAACTATCCTTTCACAACGATGAACATGAAGAATTTCTTGAGGACTTTTGACCAACGAAAACATAAAACAGAGAACACGAAGACAACATAAAATCACAATTAGGGATGCACATATACATGCATCATACCGTACGAATGTAATTTACGAATTTCGATAGAAACAAAAAAAAAATCAACGTAAAAAAAAGCAAAGTGGGAATAGAAATATAAGAAGAAAATAAATGAAGAGAGACCCCTTAGAGGACTAAATGAAATGAAGCCGCTGGCGCCTTTATGATTTTCAACTTTTAATCCTTAAAAATAAAAATGTAAAGAAATAGAAGTAAGAAGAAGAGAATATAAAATAAAACTTAAATTATTACCCTCTATTGTTCTCTATGTATATATTTTCCAATGACTATAACTTTGTAGATACACACTTGCATTTAATAGACCTAGTAAGCGATACATTTCTCTCTCATTTAATTATCTTTTCTATTCTATAATGCTGAATTTTTTTATATATTCCTTTTATCTTCATCTTCATGGTGCATCATCGACTACACATAGATTTTTATTAGGATGGAACTCATGTGAATTCAGTTTAAATTTATTGTATTCGACGAAGACATTGTTGCACACAATTGGGGCTATAAAGGAGATCCCTCTTGGGGGTTTGGATTCTGTTTGCAATTGTTTAGCTTTTAAAGGTTTGAAGAATGAGTTGAATATCGGGTATGGAGACGTTAAATGCCACACAAATTAAAGATTGTGCAAAATTATGTTGCATTTTAGTATGGCATCATGCTAGGTTTCATTAGGTAAGCTATTGTAGCTCAGTTGCGAAGTGTTCTAGGACTAAGGTTCATAGGAACTATAAGAAAGAGCTAGTATTTTTAGGTTCGAGTCTCAACTGATAAAAATGTCATTATTTCGTTCTAGATGTTGAAAATTGATGTTAAGGTTGACTGGTTTGAAGTCCTGGTTATGATCAGTGGCTTAGCAAGGACTTTTGCCATTCTATTTATAAAGATAAAGATTGCAGCCCTAGTTCCTTCTCGTTGATTCATTCCTCCGTAGCAATTTCATTCAAATTTCAATCAAACTTCAACCTAGTCACGCCTAGTCTAATATGAAAGAGAAAAGACAAAAGAAGAAGAATAAGATTTGTGTGCGAGTGAAAAACAGCAATTACTGTCAGCCGGGAGAAATTCATTTTATATTTTATTTGGAAATAATTTTTAAAGACTCTTGTCAAGCATTTACTTATCCTACACATGCACAGGACTCTCCTGTCGTATCTTGTAAATCATTTCTTCTCTTATTCTCGTTACGATTTGTTCAGGTAGAATTAGCCTCATTGTAAAAATAAAAAAATAAAGTTTTGCAATCGAGACATGGAATCAATAGGACTTGTTGATTTATTTCATATGATAGGAGTCTCTATGAGCTTCAATGTCGGGTCGGCAAGACATCAAAAAACAATAGAAAGTCGAGAAGGAGGAAAGTTTCATAAAATATATCGATTAACAGTTATAAATGAATCAATAAATTTTCTTTCATCAATTGTAGGTCCATAGATTGCATTTCCCATGTTATTAGAAGCCATAAAAAAAATCAAATACTAATTATCTTACCTTAGCAGATCTTCGCATCTAATATGAGAAAAAACCTCAGCATCATCATAAAAATGACCGCAAACATTTCGAAGAAATTTATTTTTTTAATATCCAATGTATTTTAAACCCATTATTAATTTTTTTTATTTATATATATGTAGATATTGAGCCATTCACGTAGAGCTTTGAAAACAAAAATTTAAATTTATTTGCGACAATATAATGCGGGCTTACCTTTTCATCGGGTTCTTATAATCTCTGAAAATCGTTTCATTTGCAATATAACTCCTCGTCTAATTGTTGACTTTCGAAATTCATCATCATTATATTGTTTTGTTTGGCTTGAACCTTGAGAGGCTCTAATTCGCTGAAAATATATGACTAATGGAATTAAGAATCGATGAAACGGGCGCATTAAGATTGTTTTTTGTAGCAATTCAGTTGAAGGGGATTGATTAGTATTGGTATATCCAACTGCTAAGGTGTGAGCTGGAATGGCTCGATTAGAATTTCTGAAATTTAGGAGTCTAGGGTACGAAACTATGCAATGAAAATTAAGAATAACTCTTTTCCTAACCTCAAAAAATAGATTTGATTCTTTTATAGACTAAAGACAGAAATTTCAGCAAAGCAGCAGTTCAAATCCCACTAAACCATCTCCTTGTCAGAAATCAAGAAATCTACTCAATGTTTTATAGCTTATGCAATATTTCTTTATTCAAATGTTATCATAGTTCTTATAGACGTAAATTTAATTTAAAATCAAACTCGAGTGCTTGCCAAACAAGATAACAAATAAACTTCAAAGGATATTCCTTGACAAAACTAAATAACCGAGTAAATATTGACTTAGTAAAAAAGATTTCTAGCACCAAAAATAAAAATTATCCAAACTTAAGCAACTTATCATTCTTATTTCTAATTCCTCTTTTAATATTTAATCTATGAATATTATAGTTGATATCCTTAAATGCACTTTCTGTTTTATGATAGTTGTCAGAATTTCCTTGAAGATCTACTCGTAAAACTGTTCGTGCTGCTGTTGGTGACACAGATCTCAAGCCTAATGGACGATAACCAGCTGGAACACCTACTAATGTTGTGGGTGTGATACTACGTGTTTGCGATAACTGACTTGCTGACGATGGACGATTAAGCGATGCTTTTTGAATTGGTGTAGGTGTACGGCTGTCTCCTGTGAAGATGTAGACAAAGATATTCAAACAATTTAAGTTTTGATTCATAAAATAGACTTGCCTGGTAATCTCCCAAGACTGTCCATTTCATAATAATCTAAGCTTAGCAGGAGATCGGAATTGATATTTTGAAACATATTAAGAGTTGATTCAGCATACGTGTCACATTCATCATATTCACTATCATCACAATTTATGATGATATTTGGTGAATTCTTTGATGCGTGAGCTGCTAGCTGACGTCGTTGATTTCCAATTAATGTTCCCTGTACGATAAAATCTTGTATTACTTTCATACTCGGACTCGGATGTGGAGTCTCGTTGGTGCTTTTTGTTGTATTCTGAAATTGCACGCAATAAGGCGGTAACTTCTTCTCAGATCGTTTGATGTTTTTTGGCGCTAAAGTCTTTGCGTCAGGCGAAATTTTCAGATTTACAATGATCAGTGGTGTCTTTTGAGGGTCGGGCGTTGAGCCTTGATCAGAATTTGACGTCGGCGATGAACTTCTACAATAGATTTATATATATTTTTTTTGTAAAGAATAATGAGCAAAGTAAATAGTCTATGAAGATTTATGAACAAAAAGGAGGAATGTAAAATTTATTGCCGGCGCCAAACTGAAAACAAAATATTGAGCATGATAACCAGAAAGAAATTCTACAAATTTTTTAATGAGAAATAAAAGCGAGAGAAAAAAAAATCATTTAAATTTCCTCGAAACGCAGACTGAAAGTTTTTTTGCGGTTGTCTATTTAGCTGGTTTTAGAGCGGGTTGAGCAGTATTTCTAAAATTCAATTCTTACTGTTTTATGGAATTCAAATTTTAACGGTTTTGTAAAATTTAAATTTTACCGGTTTTGTAGAATTCAAATTTTAAAAGCTTTGTAAAATTCAAATTTTAAAGGTTTTGTAGAATTCAAGATTTGCTTGTTTTGTAGAATTCAAATTTTACCGGTTTATTGAAATTTCAAATTTTAACGGTTTTGTAAAGTTTAAATTTTTGTAAATTCAAACTTGAAACTGCTTGAAACATTTTGACTTGACATTTAAAGAATCTCAGTTCATTCGAATGCTCTTTAAGTCCACAAACCGAAATGAGTCAAGAAACTCCCATCTCTTCCTATTGATATTTATTACTGTTGAAGAAATATTCGTGGTAGTTCTAAAGAATTATGATATTTCAACAGATGAATATTCAAATAAATAAATAAATATTTATGTTCGGTTTTTTTTCGGTATTGGGAAGCATTTAATTAAAAATTATTTATTTGCTATAAGAGAATAATTATGCTAATATCAGAGAGCATATATTAAAAGTCATGTTCACAATATAATTAATATTTATATTAATAGTTCTGAAAGTTTTCTGCTCTCATGCAACAAACGCAAAGTCATAAAAAATTTGTCTGTGATATCATATCATTATTAATTCCGTATCTTTTGTAATAAAAGTAGTAAAAAACAGATTAAATTTTTTTAATTTTAATTACATTAATAATCGGCGAAATGTGCTCATAAAAGTCACGTATATTCAAAGTCAAAGTGCCGCGAGACTTTTAGTGATTTGTAATCAAGAAAACAAAGCACATATGAAATAAATATATCTGCATACACAGAACTGGTTTATCTTTGTCTTTTTAAAAACGTTATAACTACTTTGACTATCGTCTTGTTGTATTTACAGCTGAGACTTTTTGATTTATATGCTTTTGTGTTATTTCTGCTAATTTCGCCTTTACTATGTTAGTTAAACATATTCACATTTATAACCATCACATTTCCATGGAAATTAAGGCAGAATAATATGTTTCATTTCATCAGTTCGCTCTGTGTTTGCCCAATGAGAAATTGGTTATTTAATAGTTTAATATATTGCTCTGAAATTTTAGACTGACTTATGAATGAATGAATGAGCGACTGAATGAGGTTTTTAACATGTGTTGTCTAATTTTTATTCATATCTTCTGTTCCTTCTAGAAGTGAAATAGAAGCGATGTTTAAATTGTTAGACTAACGCTTCCTTATCGAGTTTCGAGAGTATTTTAAGTTCCTATTTTTTAAAATTTCTAGCTTCTCTTTAATTAAGTACAGATAGCTCAATGACGATCTACTTGATTTTCAGAATTAAAAAGGTTTTGAAAGTTTTTAAAAGTACAAAATAGAAATCTCATTATTGCTGATAGCTCAACTGCAAAAAAATGATATTCATTCTGTCGAAATTGAAAATTATAGAGCATAAATCTTTCTTCTTGATTTGACACTAGCTTCAGTGATGTATTAAGGAAAGGGTATTCATTTAAAGGTTTCTAAGAAGATCTTTAATTTTTGTATTGACTAAAACCCGGCTTCTTAAGCATACCCCAGACAAACTGTATATTATGAATACCCTCAAAAAATCCCTGTAAGTTAAGGTAAATTCTATAACAATTGAATCTTGTAAGATTGACTGACAACAAGTTTCTTATTGTTTTGTATTATTAGAATGACATTTTCAATCTTTTTTGTTTCTTTCTCAATTATTCATCTGATACTGTCTCAACTATTGGTTCGTAAAGTTGTGAAAATGTCAGTTTCTAAGGCTATCAAGCGTCCTCTAACTTAGTCACAGTTAATTTTTATCAAAACTTTGAAATTACTGTTCTAATTTTTGAATCTAGAATAAAGCGTTTAAAGTAGCTTCTTAAAGTTTCTTAATTGCAAGCAGCTCCTCAAAAATTCCAAGGGTGTGGAACTGAAGAATTACATTTTGATCATTTTTGATCATTTTGATAATTTTTTGATCATTTTTGATCATTTCTTCAGTACCACACGCTTGAAAAATTCCCAACTGGATCAACAATTATTTATTACAGTTCCTTTATTTCCACAAAATGATATTGTATGAGCGAAATTAAATCAAGAAAACATTTTTATCATCATATAAAAAAGCCGCTCATTGATTAAATTAATTCATAAACGAGCATGCATCAACTGGTGGTATAAATTATTATTTATATTCATTCATAGAATCGCTGGATTAAGCAACATTGTAAAAGACAACAATTCATTAAACTTAATTAATTTGAATTCTGAAACTTACCGAATTGAACGATTTTTATATCGAATTGGGAAGTCACCAAGAGCAAATCTTTCAGTGCACGGTCGTGTGACTGGTCCTGTATCGTATCCTGATGTTGATATACGCGGAGGTGGCTTGTATCGTCGATCACTTAATGGCATTCGAGAACAATGCATTTCCTTGTACAAACTATGAATTTACAGTAATCGTTTTTGTCTGCAAGAAATTCTCATACGATTCAAATTTCCATTCCTTATTTACCTTACTTTAAATTAGAAAAAGAAATGATCGAAATGGCTAAACAGAAATAAGAAATAAAAAAAAAATATGTGTTTCTAGTCGCATATCAAATTTCTCAAATATATGTGCTTAAATAAGAAATAAGAAAAGGAAGATAATAAGTTGGAACGTCAGCAGATGGATGTTAGAAATAAGGCGAATTTGCTTTAAATTTTAAATCCAATTCAAAAAAAATTATAGCAAAAAAGGTAAGTTTATTTTACAAAGCAATTGATAGAATTCTTTTTTGAATCTCAAGGGTTTCGAACCCAGGACTTTAAGTATGAAAAAATCAACTTAAGTATTTGCCCGCGACCATCCAATGGCAGTTCGCGTCCACAAACACTTTAAAATCCTATTTCGCTAAAATTCCAATTTAAACAAAAATAATTTCAGATGCTCCAACCCACCAGATTGACAATATACAGCCCAATGCACCTTCATTTCATGCTAATACTTCAAAAATGAGACACAAAAGAAGGAATAGGACAGAATTTCATAAGTAATTGCTCTGCGATATTGGCTTTGTTGATTTTTTTTTTTATAACACAGAAAAACTAATAAGAAGAAAGTTTAGTTGCCAGATTATATAACTGTCATATACTTAAAAACTTCCTTTCATATGGTAACGACGAAATAAAAAATAAAACAAATTTAAGAGATATTTAGTTTCTCTTTGATGTTCATTTTCATGTCGTTTAGTATTATTCAACCATACTCTAATCATTCTTATGTTTGGTGACCAGTTCAAATTTCATTTCATCTAATTGCTAACAGCTTCTATATAGAAACAACAGTTAGGTTGTGTATATATAGTCACCATTAATTTATCATCAAATAATAATTATTGAATGTGACAATTGCCAGTAAAATTGGTAAGTTGATTTAATAACTTGACGATCGAAAACTTCAAAATCAGCATATTACCACGACAAAATTCTGAGAATTGTATTAGGCTCACTAGACACTTAATTAAACAGTTGTCAGGGCTTCTCTCCTTCTTGATTTTTAAATTACGGAATGAATTTTTTGACTAGTTGGATATGCTCGACAAGTTGCTTTGTAAGACTATTATTACATTAAAGTTTAAGAATTTAACTGTCAATGAAAATTTGAAAATTTAACGGGAAAAATAATTTTGAATTTTTTTTCAAATATTATTTAAAACTTTAGCGATTTTTTAAATGACATTTCAAGTCAACAAAACATTTTCTAGAATAAAAGCATAATAAATTCTCCATGATCGCATTAAATCAATCTATTTTCGTGCAGTCTCGTTAACACTTCACATATTGATTATAACGAACATACATCGAGTTATTATAGCAACGAGACAGAACCGTTTATATTCATATCCAACTTGTATCGTTCGAACTAATTCCTTATGCAAATGTATCATGATATTTAAGCACCAGAAGTAGATAATTAAAAGCAAATTTGACACATTGTTCTCATTTTATCGACTGAATTTAAATAAAAAAATAATGATGTTTGACGAAATCAAGTCATAGACACTTAATAGATTCCATAATGAACTCAATGTGTGGGCAATGCTATGAAATGGAATAGAAATATACAATTTCTTGAGAATCTTTGAAATTTCGCGTTTAAGATTAAGCAATTCAAATGGAAAACTGGTAATTAGACATTGAAGGACGATGAGTAAGCAGGTTTCTGTATTTTTGGTTGAGCTTGGGCGCATTTTGTAAGTTATTAACAGTTTTCAAAAATTTAAATTTTGAACGGTTTTCAAAAATTCAAATTTTGAACTGTTTTCAAAAAATTAAATATTGAACTGCTTTCAAAAATTTAAATTTTGAACTGCTTTCAAAAAGTCAAATTTTGAACTGCTTTCAAAAAGTCAAATTTTTAACGGTTTTTAAGATAGAAGAACTAAACCAGTTTCCATTTATCGATTTTCTCGCAAAGAAATTTGCCAGTAGACAATACAAAGGATCTGATAATACTTAAAAAAAGCAGCTAAAAAGTGTTTTTGAAACATTTCTCGATTGACGAAGTCGAAAATTCACTGAGTGGATAATTAACACAATTAAATGCCATTTCCTTACTTACTTACTTGTTTTTATATATTTTTCCACTCTTATTTTCATCCCTCTTTATTTATTATAAGATGTGAGATGAAAAATATGACAACAAGCAAAAGGCTATGACAAAAATTGGTTTGATGTGAATTCGGGCGAATGATGAAGACTTTTCTTTCTTGTGTTAAGATGACAACAATCCTTTCCAATAAGGATCTTTCTTTTAATATAATTCCTTCAGCTCCGATTTTATGAGAACTCTTAGCTATGGCTTGCTTAGTGATAAATTGTCATCTCTATAAAAGCCACGTCACTCAAGCAGTGGACTAAATAAATTGCTCATTAAAATTTTTTTTAATTTGTTTTCTTTCTGATAAGCAAAAGATTCACTTGTTGTTGTTTTTATTTAATTTTCCTCATTCCTTCGTCTCTTCATCTTCTAAAAACTGTTAAAACGTTTCCTTGCATTAAGAATTTATAAATTTAAAAGCTATTAACAACAACGATGAGAATTTATAGTTGTGGGTGTAAAATGATGAAATTTATGTTATTTTTTGTTTTTCTAAATTCCTTCATTCTACTGGCATGTCGAGGTTGCATGTGTGAGTAAGTACATGTCGTAATGTGGAATTTGGAAAAGGAATGAAAATAAAAGAACTATGCTGTATGCATTCTTGGATGAAATTAAGAAAAAATAGCAATTTGCTGGTTAAGGGATGGAGCTAGGGGGTGCTTTGGAAGAACTCTTGAATTTTTGAGATATGATGAATGTTTAAAATAGTTTTTGATATTTTTAAGTAGCTATGGTAGCTTTTAAATGAATAAATATATATAAATATCAAATTGAATTATTTGAAATTTTGAAAAAACGGTCAAATTAAATTTAAATTAAGTCATCTCGGTAAATTTTTGAACTGAACTTGAAACGGACTTTTTTCAAAGCAAGCCAAACATCATTGTAATAGCTTCTCAAAGTTCCCCAGTCTCTAGTTTTGTTACTGATTGTAATTAGAATTAGAATTAGAATAGGGTGTCTTGAAAAGTATCAAAATTGAGTAACTCTTTACCGGTTTTCAAAAATTCAAATTTTTACTGCAAAACTAGTTCAAATTATTTTTTAAAAAATTCAAAATATTCCTTAAAAACCCCCAAAAATGAAATTTTTTAAAAAATCTGTCATCACAAATTCGAAAAATTTCAGCAAATAAAAAAATTCCTTATTTTATTGAATCCTTTTATTGTCGATATTGATGTTGAATGATATGCAATCACGCGGTAAAATGGAATATAAAAAAATTGGAATTTTTCAAAAGCATAAAATCGGGAGCAAAGCGAGCAATAAAAAAATGGGGCGAGCGTGAATTTTTTTTATTTTTCATTTAATGTTAAAAGTGCCAAACAGTAAAACGGCTAAATATGTATACATCATAAATATCGATTTAATGTAAACACCTCGAGAAATGAAATTTTTCCACCCTTTTTTTTTGCGATGAGCAAAATTTTTTTAAAAATTATTTTTTTTTCAAGGATTTTTTTTTGTTTCGAGTTCAGCCCTTTCTAAATTTTTTACACATTTATTATATTTTCTTTTTTCTCAATAAATAAATGCAGTAAAAGAAATAAGAGAAAAGAAATCTTTAGCAATAGCAGCTGGAGTCCAAAATTTCTGAGAAACTACACATAATAAATAAATAAAAATCTATAAAAATGAGAATAAGAAGTGGAAAGAAGATAGAGAAAAAAAATGCATTTGTAGAAAACGGCACATAAATAAAATCCTATTGTAAAAATATACAGTTTAAATAATGACGAAAAATGAGTGAGATTTTGTTGTATGTGAAATTTCAAAATTGCTTAGTTCTTTTTTGCTTTACGTAAAGCATCCTTATGCATGCACACATGACATGTTAAGGCGTAACTAGAAAGAATTTTAAAAAATCTATTGTTGCATTAAGTTTAAGGATATTTGGCTGGCTCTTTACTGAATAACCGATTGCTACTGAATTACTTAATATATTCAAATTTAATGGCTTTCAAAAGTTTAAAATTTTAACGGATTTCAAAAGTTCAAAATTTAACATCTTTCAAAAATTCAAATTTAATGGCTTTCAAAAATTTAAAATTTTAACGGATTTTAAAAGTTCAAAATTTAACAGCTTTCAAAAATTCAAATTAAACAGCTTTCAAAATTTTAAAGTAGTCAAAATGCGTCTATTGCACCCTTGCATATCCGAAACTTCTAAATTCTATCTTATTATGCGACACAACAGATTTTTAAGATAATCCTAAAGCCATTGCATGTCCATTGTATATGTTCAAAACGAGCCAGCGTATAAAAAGGATATAAAAATGAAAAATTGCTTGATTTTGAATCGAAATTGGGAATTACAAATCACAGAGAGACCGTTTAAGTACACATAAAAAAATCTCCAACTACTGGCATTTCCTTCTCGTTTTAATGGTGTCTTTAGTTATAAGACATTACATAATTGGTAGCTCAATTTTTCCTAATAACGCGGAAATCCACAAGAATATACTCGAAGCCGATTATTTTATTTATACAGTACAATGAATTTATTTGTTTTGAGGGAGCTGTTTTCCTTTTCATTTCATTTCCTTGTCTCCCCACAGAATAATATTTTTTTCTTAACGCTCACTTTTTCTTTTCTTTTCTTTTGCTATATTTACAACAACCTGTTGATTCCGATTCTTTTAACGTTATCTTAGCATCGCTATTGCTTTGAGCAAAGACGAGTACAAAGAGGCAAGCAAGTCGCTGCTTGCAATAATGGTACAAATAAAATATATTCATGTGATGAGAGAAAATCTTTATTACTAATGGGAATCATTCATAA